CCCAATAACCATTAGCGGGTGACGTCACTCCACATGGGGCAACCCCCCTCATTAATAAGCATGAGCCGAACAATTTTTCTATTGAACGTTTCAGATTTACTGCAATATCCACCCGTCCTTGGACGGGCAAAGAAGCGAGTATAGTATAGTGTATCTTTCTTTCATTGGTAGCGCTTCTTGTAATGGTTTTCCTTCGGAAATTCCAGCCACTGCAATTTGGAAATGTGGAATTTCCACCACGGCGGTATTGGGAAGGGACATCTTTTTTTCACGGGATGTCGTTTTGTGTGTTTATCAGAAATGAATTAGCGGTCAATCGCAGCCCCTGTTCGATCCACTGCTGGACGAAGGACTTCCCACGCAGGTGTCGGTTTGACGGGGTGGTGTTTGGCCATACTTCACCACGCTGGTCACTGCAGGTTGCTAAAGAAGGATAGGTGGGGTTTACCTAGGCAGGCTCCAATTTTAGCTGCTGATCGTCAGCTGTGGTCGAATTCATAGCGCAGCGCCACCACTCCTTCAAGTAGACTCTGACCGGGATAGGCCTGGATTAGTTCGGCCAGTTGTCGACTATGGGCTCGTGTCTGGTGATGCTAATCAATTTATCTTCTTGGTTCTTTCGGTAAAGTCACGTAGAAGGGAAATAATAAAATAATAATAAAAATAAAACATAATAAAATAACAGGTCTGTCGGGAAGACAGCGTCAGACGCTGTCTTCCCTTCACCTGAGGACGACTGCTTGCGTTGTGGCCGAAACGTCGTGAGAATTATTTTATGTTTTATTTTTATTATTTTATTATTTCCCTTCTACGTGACTTTACCGAAAGAACCAAGAAGATGAGCGGGAAATATGAAGCGCTTGATGGCTCGTGCTCCAAAAGCGTACCCAGTTTGTGCAGACTCGCGGGATTCTCTCTCCGTCGTAATTGCAACTCAACGTCAAGCCGAAATAATAAGGCGATCAGACACTTTGCAGTCTTGGGTCTTCCGAGTGCTGTCACCGTCACTGCCCAAAACTCCTGCGTGTTGGCACACGTGGCCACGCTGAAGTGACGGAGGGCCTCGACCGTGGCTCAATTTCAAATTAACTCCCGTGCGTGAACGGCTGTCGAAGTGGGTTTTTTTTCAGTACGTCGCAAAAAGCTTTCAGACCTCACCATTTGGACCATCGTCACTCTAAACGTCGCTTATCTCCAAACGGTTCAGTTTGTTTATGATCGGGCCTCGCTCGTAAAAAAAATGATGTCATGCCTCCAGGAGGATCAACACCTGACTTTACCGAAAGAACCAAGAAGATGAATCCCTGCAGTCACGAAAGCTTTAAATCGAAATTTAACCAGCCAATAGTTATACAGTCCTAAATTTAGCACTGATCCTCACCCTAACTGTATCGCTTTGGCAGATGTTTTTCGTTTGGTATCCACTTTCAGTGTGAGTGGTCGCAACACCTGGGCATTTAAATAATTTCCATCATCACAAACATCATCACAAACATCATCATCCCCATCATCAATATCATCTTTACCATAACCGCCATGGATACCACCTTTACCTCCGCCACCACTTAAACGCGTCTCCTCCTCGGAAGAGATCACGAATCTCTCAACGCAGTCCATCAAATGGGCCCCAACGCCTTTGTGTTTGTTTGAGGGAAGAGAATAAACGAGAGGAAACGAGAGAGCGAGAGACACGAGAGTGGGGTGCGCCGTGGAGAGGATGGAGACCAGAAAGGGGGAACAGAGAGAGAAAGAGAGCTTAGAGCGACACGGTCTTTGGGGAGATGGATAAGGGAAGCGGAGAGAGAGAGAACCCACAACCTTCTAGTCCGTAGGCAGCCGCGTTAACCATTACACCACAGAGAGAAAGCGATGGAAGAGCGAGGTGAGGTGAGCGAAAGAAGAGACGTTGGAGAGATAGGCGATAGACAACAGAGAGGCGGGGGACAGGAGACTTTGACTTCTAAACAACTTTTATTGCCGCCAGCAGCAACAGCACCGGAGGCGATTCCGATATGAAATACACAGTCACCAGCAAACAAATGGAAATAAACGCTACAATTCCACGCGCTGTGGCGCTAAAAGCACCTGCGCACAAGAGAGAGAGAGGTGGGGGAGAGGAGTGAGGTGTGGGGCAAGTGGTTCTTCCAGAAGCTGCGGTTCTAATCTTGTCCCAGAACCATGCGCAATAAACATACAACCGGCTCTCCAGAATGTTATTTTAAAAAAGAGAGGAGAGATAGAGAGGGGGGGTAGAAAGAGAGAGGGGGGGTAGAGAGAGAGAGGGGGGGTAGAGAGAGAGGGGGGGGGGGGTAGAGAGAGAGGGTAGAGAGATGGAAGGGGTAAGAAGGAGGAGAGCAGAGCTTGAAATATTTCGTGAAATCTTTCATTTAAAAAAGGTGGCGGGGGGGGGGGGCACATAAAGCAAAGCATTGAGAAAAAAAAACGAAATGATGAACGAAGCAAAGTGCCGGCTACACCGAGCGTCTTCTTGTTTTCTCTGATCGTAAAAAAGAGTGAGAGAGGGGAAAGAGGATGGCGATGAGAGCGCGTGGACGAGATGAGCGAGCGGTGGGAGGCGCTGTCTGTGACCAGCCCGCACGGGATGATGATGGTGATGGAGGAGGAGGATGAAACGGGGGGAGGGGGGGGCTCTCTCTGCGCGTTCGTTTCACGTTGCAGCTGATGCGTAGCTCCGCTTCCCGCGTGAGCCGGGTCGCTGGACTCCCCTTTGGGTGGTGGACTCAAATCTTAACCGAGTAGCCCCACAACGGTCCACCCCTGTCGACAAGCAGCACCGGAAAGGCGAAACGCGGCCGAGTGTGCACACGTGGTGGTGCCGGCCACCGCCAGGTAGGCATCAGCGGGTGCTCGCCAACAGCGCAGCCCCCCAGCTGCGTGCAGGGCGACACGAGGGACCTTTGTCCCGTGCGTCTATGAGGGCACGTGTGATCATCGTCTTAGTGAGTGTGTGTGTGTGTGGTAGTGGGGAGCGGTGGTGCAGCGGTTAGCGCGCTGCGCTACGAACCCGGCAACCCGGGTTCGATTTCAACTCACGACCAACACCGGTGACGATTATGTGAACCGGTCCTGTGCCTCCTCTAGGTCGACCCAGCCTCAAATGAGTACCTGGTGCGATGTGTAAACATCGCGACTAGGGAAACAAAGGCAGCCGGGCGTGGTGTTGGTCACCCACCCCCTCGTGTACCGTGCCGACCTTCATAGGTGCTCGCTAACAGCACTTGCCCTACAGTCTGTTAAGGCTATACGGGGGGGGGGTCATTGTCTTTGTATTGTATGATAGTGAGTGGGGAGCGGTGGTGTCGCGGTTAGCGTGCCCGAGGACCCGAGGTCGATTCCCGCTCACGGCCAACACCGGTGACGATTACCTGACCCGGTCCTGTGCCTCCTCTAGGTCGACTCGGTCTCAAATGAGCACCTGGTGCGGTGTGTAAACATCGCAACTGGAGAGACAAAGGCGGTAGGGCGGGTGGGATTTGGCGATTTGGGGAGGAGGGGGAGAAACCCGCGATCCCACTGCCGTGTTCTGCGTGGCCAAACATCCCCAGCAGTGACCGAGGACTCGAGGGTGAGACCTTTGACGGGTACATTGAGAATGTAACACAGGCACATACGTTACCGTCTGTCGGCGTTGGCGTCACACTCCACGGCAGGCGAATTACTCGGTCCACGGGGCTCTTGAGCAATGCAGAACTCTCCGCTGAGCCTGCCCGCCAAGTAAGACGAATCAACAATCGGCACCGTAATTATTGGGGCCTAAATGCTAACGTTCACAATTGCCGATGTCCTGGTTGTGAACGTGACTCGGCCGTATTTGCGCCACATTACATCTTGACAGGGCTTCTAGAACATCACCGGAGCGTTGCATCAGTCGCAACCTTCCTCTACATGCGATTTATATTCACGTGTACGCACGGCAGCCTCGACATCATTTGATGTGATAGCGCAATCCAGAATTCCTCACGTAAACAAAGACAAAGATGCCCCGTATAGTACTCACACCGTTGTTGTGGCAAGTGCTGCTAGCGGATGGGTGGCTAGCACCACGATCGGCCGCCTTTGTCTCCCCAGTGCTAATATTTGCACACCACACCGGGTATTCATTTGAGGCTGAGTCGACCCAGGGGAGGCCCAGGACCGGTTCAAATAATCGGCACTTGTGGTGGCCGTAAGCGGGAATCGAACCCGGGTCGCCAAGTTAGGAGCTCAACGCGCTCACCTATACACTATTGCTCTTTATACCAAGGTGTGTATATACAGCTCTGATTATCATCTCGCATTGTGACTTAAAGGCCATTCGCACTCGCTCACAATTTCACACAATCTCTCTTTCACACAGCACCTCTCTCTCTCATACTCCGTCTCGTACCCACCTCCCCACCCGCACAAAATGTCACACCACGCACCCTCTCTCCCTCTACAAAGACAAAGATCACCCGCATGGCCTTAATAGACTGTTGGGGCAAGTGCTGGTAGCTAGTAGCACATTTGAAGAGCCGTCACGGCACACGAGGGGGTGGGTGGCCAGCACCACGCCCGACCGCCTTTGTCTCCCGAGTGGCGATGTTTACAACACCGCACCAGGTTACTCATTTGAGCCTGAGTCTATCCAGGGGACGCCCAGGACCGATTCAGATAATCGTCACTGGTGTTGGTCGTGAGCCACACTCACCCTTGCCCCCACACTCTCTCTCACTCTCACAGACACACACACACGCGCACTCTCCCTTACAGGGATGACAGACAGCGATCGCGATAGGAATAGGAGACGTGGAGAGAGCGGTGGGAGGCAGGGGGGGGGAGTCGGGGAGAGGCATGGAGAGAGGCGCAGGGGAGTAGCGTGGTCACGGCTCCCTGCGCCGCGATGCCCGAGTTGCGCTTCGCCTCTCTGTTGTTGTTGTGATGCGCGGGTGGCTGGGGGAGGAGTGCTCGCTGACGCCTTCACCCCCAGCGCATCGCGGAGCGCGGAGTGGTGCCCGGCAATGCGTGACCCAGCCGAGTCCGTCGGAGAGCGACGCGACCACGTGTGCAGGCTGCACGACCACGTGTGCAGGCTGCACGACCACGTGTGCAGGCTGCACGACCACGTGTGCAGGCTGCACGGACCACGTGTGCAGGCTGCACGGGTCACGTGTGTAGGCTGCACGGGTCACGTGTGTAGGCTGCACGACCACGTGTGCAGGCTGCACGACCACGTGTGCAGGCTGCACGGACCACGTGTGCAGGCTGCACGACCACGTGTGCAGGCTGCACGGACCACGTGTGCAGGCTGCACGGATCACGTGTGCAAGCTGCACGGATCACGTGTGCAGGCTGCACGGACCACGTGTGCAGGCTGCACGGACCACGTGTGCAGGCTCCACGTTCACGGGTGCAGGCTGCACGATCACGTGTGCAGGCTGCACAGCCACGTGTGCAGGCTGCACGGATCACGAGGCCTTATTCTAAGTTGCCTTAATCGAAGTTGTCTTGTGGTTGTTGGTTGTTTGACTTGCATCCCACTGGGATTTTTGCACACAGCGTTGGTCTACGGTGCTTTTTCTGCAATATTTTGCTGTCTTTTCTTGGATTTTCTGTTTGCACTCAAGTCACATATTCACTTTAAGATGTTTTCTTGTTCATGTTTTTGTTTGTTTTTGTTGCGGTTGCACCCGATTCAAGAGCCGAATGGCTCACAGGGCTATACCTAATAAATGAACTTGAAATTAACTTGAACTTGAGTGTAGGCTGCACGGATCACGCGTTCACGTGTCCACGTGTCCGCGTGTGCGCCCCGCATGGATCGCATGTCCGCGTGTGCGCACCGCATGGATAACGCGTTCCCGTGCTCCCGTGCTCACGTGTGTGAACTGCAGGGAACGCGAGTGGGGTGTAATTGACTGGACTCGGTCGGGCTGGAGTGAGGAATGAGTTGGATTGGGTTGGGTCGGGTGGCGGGGGAGTTGGAGTTGCCCAAACTCTGCTGGATGAGATTCAGAAAACTCGAAACCGTGAGGTTGCCGCGTGTCTCAAGAGGTATCGAGCAGCCACGGCTGACATCCTGGGGGGTAAGCGGCGCTGTCACCAATCACTCGCGCACAAAATGCGCGTGGCGCGTGACTGGGTTTGGTCCAAATTCCACCACTGCGAGAATTAAACATTTCGGTTTGACTGCCGTGCCAAAAATAAATAGAAGAACCTTCCTCGCTGCAGCAGTGCCCCGCGCGTGTCAGCAGCAGCAGTCGCTTCGAATGATCTCGGGAGTCGTTCCGTGATTTCTGATTTTTGCCGACCATGTGATGACGCGCGGCTCACTGCGAGGGGTCCGGATGGCCCCTCCACCCCCCCCCCCATGCAGTGCCGTCTCACGAAGAACGACAAAGAGTGATAAAAACAATGTGTTAACACTTATATAGGACTATCGTTTTTAATGGGGGAAAAACACGATAACAAATGTGATGTTAATAGCTTCAAAGAGTAAAAAAGTCTCCCACTTTCATTTGCCAGTAGAAAAATATGATAATTGTTTTTTTACCCTTTTAAAATCATTTATATTAAGTTCGCTTGCTTGCTTAGGACCGTGCAAATCTTTCGCTCGTTTTTTAACCCACTTCCCGTGATCCAATAGAGCTGACATTTTCCACACAGACTTGTTGTGTGTGACAATTAATTTTCGTGAAAAAAAATTCCAAAATTTTACACCGTTTAGGGAAAACAAATTAAATATTTAATTACCAATTGCTTAATGGTGGCAGACAATCATCTGACCCATAGGTGGCAGCCATCTCAAGCCAGAGGACGAGAGGACTCTAGCCGCCACGCATATAAAGGATTTATAGTGAAACACTTTGTTTTTACGGGTTTACTTGTTACAAGGAGTCATGTTTGCATATACCACAATACCTGCAGTCATAATGCAATAAAAAAACACAACTCTGATAATGTATGCACTGTCCTTGAAGTTGATTGGTCCACACCCGAGACAGCTTTCCTTAGAGCCTAGTCTCACATGGTGTTGGACCACTCGTTCGCCATCATTGTCAACGCGCCTGGAATCTTCTCCAGGTGGTCCCCGGAGGCCGGAGGCGGCACATTTCTCGCGGTTTTGTTGCAAATTCTCAGAAGCGTTCACATGTTTTTTTTTCAAGCACCCTGCATTTAAACATCGCCTTCATACAAGACGCTTTACAGGAGTTGTGAGTGGTAGAACGAGAGTGGTGAATAGTGAATAGTGATGGGGGTATGGGGAGAGGGAGGTTTAGTGGGTACGGGGATTCCGGTGGGTACCTAGGGATGGGAGGGAAGGACGGGGCCAGGGAGCCGATGCGGGGGTCTTGAGGGAGGAGCGGCAACTCGACAGGGGGAGGCTGCTCCTCGCTTCACGTGGAGGGGAAGTTTGTTCCAATGCAAGGGGGGCAAGTAGGGAAAGGGAGCGTCAACGGGGATTGCGCACAAGGAGAGGGTTAGGGGGTCCGGTGTAGAGTCGGAGCCATCGAGAGCAGAGCGGGTGGTTGTGGGGGGGTTGGCACAATCCTGTAAAACGTCCCGTGCAGAAGGCCTCGAGGCTGGAAATGTCATCAAATCTGATGTTTGTCTACCTGGGGCAGAATGACGGTGTCACAGCGTCCACACGGACCAGCTGGCAGCGCTGCGCCGCTCCTGATCCCCGCTGTGCGGCACGGGGCAGAGCGCTGCTGGCTCTCGCCTCCACCGCCACACTCGCCCCCAACCGCCGTCTTACTCGACGACGCACGACGACAGTGATGATGATGCACACGCGGCGCGGTGCTCCGAGCCGAGTTCGTTACGGGGTGTGGCTGGGAGCGGCTGCGCGTCGCTGCTCATCGCAGTCACACAAAGACGAAGATGCCCCGTGTAGCCGTGACAGAATGTCGGGGCAAGTGCTGTTAGCGAGTAGCACCTGTGAAGGCTGGCATGGCGCACAAGGGGGTTGCGTGGTCAACACCACGCCCCACTGCCTTTGTTTCCACAGTGGCGATGTTTACACACCGCACCAAGTACTCACTTGAGGCTGAGTCGACCTAGGGGAGGCCCAGGACCGATTCAAATAAGCATCGCTGGTGTTGGGCCGCGATCGGGAATCGAACTCGGGTAGGCCGGGTTCGTAGCGCGGCGCGCTAACCGCTGCACCACCGCTCCCCACATACGCGCGCACGCACGGACACGTGTACGCACGCGCGCGACACGACACGAGTATTCGAGGATGCGCTTATCGCGGGGTCACGTTCATTAGGGAGCATTCACGCGGCGCTCTTCCTCCTCATCGTCCTCCTCCTCCTCATCATCATTCCCACGCCTCCTCGGCTCCTTTGTTCTCAGCGCGATAAGCCACCCGCCTGGTGGAGGAGGTGGGGGGGGAGGTTATTTTTTTTGTTAAATGTTATTTTTAGTTTGTACCCTTGTTTAGACAGCTAAGCCTTTCTCTCGCGCGCGCACCCACTGTCTCGCCACTCGTTGCGAGGAGGAGTCCTGAGAGGTTTTGTTCGCAGTCGGGGCCGATGCATATTTCCGATTGACTCATTTGCGGTTAAAGCTTGACTCAAAGCTTTCGTGACTGCAGGAATTCATATTCTTTGGGTCTTTCGGTAAAAAAACTAAAAAATAACAAAATAAAACGTCGACGTTTCGATCGCAACACAAGCGGTCGTCCTGAAGATGACCGCTTGTGTTGCGATCGAAACGTCGTCGTTTTATGTTATTTTGTTATTTTCTTGGAACCTATCTACGTGACTTTACCGAAAGACCCAAAGAAGATAATTTGCCGTTGTAAATTCTTTGTTCTGGGGGAGCGGGGGGGGGGGTTCAAATTTGGCAAAAATGGTGACCATGAAGCCGCCAACACGACGACCTACTCTGGCGAATGCCGTCACGGCGTCGTTATAACCCCCACTGTGATCAGCACGTTTGGCTACGTAGGGTGCAAAAGAAGTTCAGCATGCACACATACACGCACTATTGTTCCGGTAAAGACGCCCGCAGTATTTATGAGGGCGGCCCGCTGGTTTCGAACCGTGCACCTCTGCAGCAGCAAGCGGCTAACGGTTCCACCGCCCCTCTGGATGAGAGCGTGTAACAGTTTTATGCGATTGTCTGTATTGGAACACATACACCGTATTAAAAATACATATTATTCTTCTTTGCTTTGGCTCTGCATTTGAAAGTTCCATAAACAATATTGAGGTGCGTCTTATAATCCAGCAGGTGTCTGTGTATGCGCACGCACGCACGCCACTATGTATGTTAAACTTTGTTGACACCGGGCACACTTTTTTTTTGGGGGGGTGCGTCTTACTTTCCGGAATGTCCCATGATCGGGAGAATTCGGTAACACAGAATCAAGCGTCGAGCAGTAAGGGCAGTGACGGCGATAGAGCCATCAGCATGTCGGCCTTGGCGGATGAAGTTCTTCCAGCAGCAACAGCGATTTCCACTGAACTGGGGCTCTCATCGGGAGACGAGCGGCCTGCAGCGCCAGGGGAGGGCTCGTGCCCACTCCGTCAGACCGACTCGGCAGACTTCGTTTTTCTCCACGCCTGATGAAGACCGCTTGTGTGGCGATCGAAACGTCGCGGGTTTTGTGCTTTTGTTATTTTCGATTTATTTGTATTTTTTATTATATTGTACTTTTTTTATTGTGGGCTTTTTGCTTTTATTATTTTCAATTTATTATTATTTAATTAAATGTTGTTCTTTTCATATATTTTTTCTATCTACGTGACTTCATCGAAAGAACCAAGAATATGAATTCCTGCAGTCACGAACGGTTTAAGTCAAAATTTAGACTTTGTTTCATTGTCCGAGTCCTGTTGATGAGAACGCGGAGATTGTGAACCCGCTCCTCCGTCCGTTTGTTGTGTTTCTCCACGTTGATGGTCAGGCAGGCTGGTAGGCAGGCTGTCTGGCTGACTGACGAGCAGGCAGGCAGGCAGGCAGGGCTAGATTTACGTTGATGCGATTTTATTTTTCGTGCTCGCGGTGACTCAGACCCGTGTCTGTTTATTTGTTATTTCATTATTTGATGGCGATAAAAAGCTGGCACAAAAATAGCCACGGCGAGTCGATTTCGACAACGCCGAGTGAGCATCGATCCGCGGTTACGCACGCGCCAGCGATGTGGTGCCGCCAGAGTTGCTGGGTCTGGGGGGTCAGGGTTCGCGCCGGGGTCACGGACCGCATGTGCCGCGGTCGTGATTTGGGGTCGAGGGTTTTGGGGGGTCTCGCTGGGGCTGAGCCATGGAGCTCGGAGGACGCCCGAGTCTC